CCGAAAACAACACACAATTAATTTCTAGACAATTGAAAAATTATGCGACGAGAAAAAGGAAATTACTCGTGATCGAAGAAATTAATTGCAAAAATGTGATAAGATGGTCCAGTTAATACATCATGCGCATCAATAGGTCGGTCTGTGTTAGACAAAAATATTTAATCATGTTGAACCAATTACTTTTAACGCATATATATTATATACATATGTATATACAATTTCAAATTAAATGGTATAATTTAAAATACAACAATATAAAGTACTATATTATTTTTTGCTCAATAAAAACATTATATCTTATAATATATATTTATTTTTTGTTCAAAACATACCACGGGTCAATTTGTATACGACAGTTGGACAGGCACGCACCAAATTTTGTGATAACCTATTCGGCTGACAAAAATAAATAAATAAATAAATAAAATCGATATATACACGTCCATTTATAAATTCTTATTTATTTGTGTGTTGACAAAGTTTTTATTAAAATTTCAAATATACTTGCTTTTATTATTTACAAAATATTGATTTGTGGTTACTTTGTTATTGATGTCCAAAATGTAGGGAAATTTATATATTAAAAATAATAAAAATACAACTGGACAAAAAAAGAAAAACACAAAAAAAAGAATGTAGACAAAAAAAAAACACGTATTTAGAGAATACGTTTTCCATACAATTTTAATTGGAAAATGTATGCTCTAAATACGTTTTACAATTTTTTTACAATGTGAAACGTATTTTGTGAATACGTTTTACAATGAAAAACGTATTCACAAAATACGTGGTTTTGATTGTTGTTCACATCTTTTTTTTGTGTGTGTTTTTATTTGTCCACTACTTTATTTTTTTTATTTTCCCGTAAAAAATCCCAAAATGTAAGTAAGAAATTGGAAAAATCTGGTGCGGTCCCTCACAGATGAACTTCACCATAAGCAGGAAAAACCTATATGAAGCCCAAGTAAGATTCCATCCCAAAACCAATTGACTTAGATAAAATCACATATAAATATAAAAACATTAAGATATATTAGCAAAATTCAAAATAAATTATGGTTTAATTCTAAAATTTTAGGAGTAACTTTATCTTCCAATTTAGGAATTCGCCTTAGACGTGGCCACGTGCCGCCCGACCCGGACCCGGCACGGACTCGACCCAGACCTGGCTAGGTCAAACCCGTTGACCACGGGTTCGAGCCCGAAAGATTTTCGGTGGGCAGTTTCAAGGTCATTATTTCATCCCGGTGATACGGGACGATGACCCTTTTATTTTTTTAAAAAAATATATTTTTATATTATTAAATTTTTTCTATAAAAAACGATGACCCGACCTTGACCCGACATGGACCTGGCCCGCCCCGATTAACCGAGTCATGGACTTGACACAAGCATAGATCTGTGTTGGTTCAGGGTCCATGAACCCAACCTGAAGTCCCGACAAGACTGCCCGGGTCAGGGTTTTGGCCATATTTAGTTGGCATGCTTATATTGCGAACACAAACTTTTGTCACTGCAGTTAATAAGGAGTCGATTGTTTATGGATTGAACTAATTTTTAGTTGGTTTGTTTTTTTAACTATAGTTAATTTTGAAAAATGTGGCATGATAATTGTCAGTAGATATACTAAAATAATATTTAAATAAAATAATTAAAGTTGATTTAATGTAAAGTAAAAGAAAAATGATTGAAAGTGATAATTAGTTAGAATTATGTGAGTGAATGAATAAGTGAATTAAAATTGATGTGATGTGTAAGAATGATATATTTAATTATATTGATAATATTGAAGATAGTGAATTTCAATTAAAGTTAAGTTAAATTTGAGTTTTGATTGATTTTTTTAACTATTCAATTTATATACAATACACCCACCAAAAGGTTCCAAATTTTCAATTCCAGCCCTAGGGTTTCACTATATATTTCCAGCTCTACACTCTCAGAACACATTTCAGCTCAACTCCCTCCCATGGCTATGGCGGCCATCTCCCTCTACCCCATTTCAACCATTCTTTAGATCCCATCAGCATAATTCCTTCTAATCGCCGGCATTTGTACGGTCCTTAGCAATCAAAATCAAAATCCTCCATTGTTGTTTCGAATTATATCATGAGGACCTCGTCAATGGCTCCATATCGAGTCAGCAGCAGGTGCCCATATCCCATGGCAACCCGTCTGCCGCTTGGAGCCTAAATGGATCCGACCCGCTTGAAGATCCACGAGATCCGATTCTCGTCGTCTCGTGATACAATAAACTGGTCATATTTCGTAGATTTATTGATTTTGACGGTTAATTTTCTGAAAGGTGTGTTAAAAAGGCACTCCAGTCAGACACGGGGGCTTCGTATTTTTAGTGACAAGCCACCTTTTGCACAGTGCCCATATAATGCTACTTAATCACGATTGGAGGAAGTAATAATTTTTATCACAACTTCACTTCAAATTTTCAGTAGCTATATCTTTGTCTGCACTTGAAATGTCTATTCAAATTCAGTTTTTCTGTTAAATTGTGCACATAATTTGAAGTGAGGTTTGCCGATTTTCAGCTATGTGTCTGTGTGTTCGTGTTGATTTATGGGCATGAAAATTGAACTGAATATAGTTTTTGTAGCGATGATGAGTTGTCAACATGTAAGAGGAAGTCATCTTTGTGCTGATTTCCTCTATGAAATCTACCTGTTGCGCTTGGCTTCTGAGCATACTGTCTCTCTTTTTATGGTTACTCAATTGTGTTTGTGTTTGTTATTTTACAAGTGTTCTACTTAAAATGTGTCTGGGTTATAGTTACACTACATTTTTAGGCCATCTAGTTCAATTTTTTCTTTTGATTCAGGCCGTTTTTCAGTATACTGTTATACAAAGCAGCTTCTTGAGCACCTGAGTTGAATCTTAGACTCAAATTTAGATGACGCTCGAACACTCTTGGCTCGAGCTGAAGTTGAGCTAGATTTTGAGCTAAAATCTTGAGTTTATTTCAAGCTTTTGCTTACTGTTGAAGTAATCAGAACAAAAACATTGCTCAAACTGTTTGTAACCATTAACTTGCACGACTATTTTTAGTCCATTTAGTTTAGATGATTCAACGTCTTCAATGTTCTATAGAAAACCAATGTAATTTCGTTTACATCCTCTCGAGAATCTCTCAATATGGCATGAGTTGTATTGTTCAGTTTAGTAACACCACTGTAATTTGCTTGTCCACACGAGTGTAATGTAATATTAGTAGAATTTGGGCTTCGTTCAAGGCTTTTCTCGATCTGGTGATATGTGGATTAGGTAGCCCAACCCATTAAGTGCTGTCATGGCGACTGAGAGGCCCATCATCAAGTGTTCGCCAACTATCCAATTGTAATGAATTCAAAACCATATGCATTCAGTGAACGTAATCTTTTAAAAGATCTTTGGATGATAGTGTAATGAAATTTGTTTCTCCATGATTAAAGAAAAAAAATAAATAAAATTAATCTATTAATTCAAACATTGGTTTTTAATTTTATGAATATATTATGTTGAATAGATAAAATAAACTTTTCATTATACACACGATAAATTTGTGAAAATGTTTAGTTCTAAAATTGGGTGAATTGGAAATGAATACCAATGTAGAAATTAAATATATCATTTGGTAATAATTGACAACATAGAGTAATAAAATGAAGAGTGATTGATAGAATTAGATACCCACTTGCACCATAAAAAAATTTATATCCATTTTTCCAAGAGTATTTATTTATTCCAAATACATAATGAAACTTAACATTATATATTTATTTATTTTTACATCCTTTATCCATTTTATTATTCAATTCACAATATATTTTTCATATTTTTTTTTTATCAATTCCAATTTGGTGTTAGGGAGGTGTAGACCTCAATTGTGATTCATGTTTTTTTTTTTTTTAATTTTTTTTTTCGTTTCAGATTTATTGACTCTCATCTTAGATGTTTGGAGGACAAGTTTTTTCAAAAAGTTCGATGTTATTGGATAAGCTTCCTTAAGTATTTTTTTTTCCATATAGCTTATCAGCTAATTTATCAAATATTTTTATTATATACGCTAGCTTTTCAGCTACACGTCATAAGCTATAAGCTAAATATTATTAATAAGTATAAATTAACTTATCAACTAATTTTACCAAAGCCATAGAATTGGTAGGAGTGGAGATCTATTTGGGATATGAGGAGATTTTTATAAATGTGTTTGGAAAAAGATTTCGCTATTCTCTTTTCTTTGAAGTTTGTTGGTCACAATTATTGGAGTTTTCTAGTCTTTTATTGTGGGAGCTTGTTAATTGTTTTAAATTTTTTAAATTTTATATAAATCCATTTAAATTATCAAAAGCCAAACAAAACGTAATCTGCCTAGGCATTTAATCCACTGGCTTAGTGGGAGGGTGAAACTCCCTGTGAAAGTGAATGTCAGGGGATCGAACCTGACTATCATGAGTGTTAGAATATCACTTGTGAGTTGTCCCACATTGTTCATACATGGAAAATAGACCCACCTTATAAGACTAATGGGCTACTCCTCCTTCCACCAATTGGTTTTGGGATGGAACCTCATTTGAGCTTCATATGGGCTTTCCTTTTCCCCCAGTTTATTACAATGAGAAGTGGGGATGGGGCATTTCACTTCTCCTGAAAGATTAGTCCCACACAGAGGTGTGAATCCCTTAAGTCATTAGGCTCGTACCTCATGAGGGGCTAGCAGTTCGTGGTGAAGTCTCGGAGTTGATACCTCTGGTCGCCAAAAAANNNAAAAAAAAAAAAAAAAACGTAACCAACATGAAGTCAACAATGAGGCCCCCACAAAGAAAAAAAAAACAACGATGCCCCCACCCAATAACTATAGTCAACAATACGGTGTCGTTTAAACTTCTTTCCCCACCTTCTCTAATCTCTATACATAATCGTCAAATTCATCCGATTACCATACAAATTATCCACATTCAATAATCCATTGTTTATTATTCATTCATCGCCAGCGACGTTCGATTATGACTCCTCCGTCTACCTGTGCCGTTGTTTTTCTCGTGCTCTCGGTCCTGTTCGTCGCAGATTGCCGTGATTTCATCAAGCTCCCTTCCGAAGTTCGCCGGTTCTTCGGCGACCCCGAGGCCGGAGACGGTGGAGCTGACGGCGATTCCGTTGGTACGAGATGGGCCATCCTGTTGGCTGGGTCGAGTGGCTATTGGAATTATCGTCACCAGGTGATGATCACGATTCACCGGATGACCTGAATTTTGTCCTATTATGTTATCAGTAACTAAATCCAGTTTCCATGTCTGTGTGTGTGTGATAGATATAAGTTATAACTATTTTTGTAGCTTCCTTGTTCGATTATGATTTGCAGTTCAATGCTAATGTTAATTTGGGCAAGTTTCATTGTCTATCAAATTATTTGCAGTTCATTGATGGCTAATTGAAAACCTGAGTCTTTTACCGTTGAATCACAGACACTCTCACACACTAGCATGGGTGTGTCGATCCAACTTAAAAAGTCTGGTGAAGATTAGGGTTGAATTTTTGGGGATTATTAGTCTGTTTTTCAGTTGTCAATTTTGTTTTGACCTACCTTTTTTTTTTTAAAAAAAAAAGAAAATATTTGTTTATGTGTACAATATATGATCTAAACATAGAGTATGCGCACTGAGATCTCAGCTTTTTTTTCACCAAGTTTTCTTTTTGAAGTCGGTGTTTAGATTTTTCTGATTGTTATTTACTTAGTGTTTGAGTTTACTAGTAACTTAATATTCCAGTAGTGCAAAAGTTTGTTTTCTGCAAGTTTATCTGATATATTATTTAGACTTAGCTCATCTTCAACAACAAGTTGGTAGTAATTATTGGTATTAGGAGGCCCACGACTAGTTCTTTTAATTGTCGTAGTTTACGACTTTACTCTTATGACATGTTTAAAGGGGCCCAAATGAGCAGCTGACATTTAATTGTTGATATTAACTCAATGGTGCTTTTGGAAGTGTCTTTTTCCGAGTGCATCTCCATTTGCTTGTGATTGATTTGTTTCTCTTTCAAAGTTCTAGAGAAGTTGATTGTGAATTTTGAATCATGCAGAAAATTATTTGGATGAAATTAATAGAGATCCATTGCAATGAAACATGATTAGTGACTGTTTCCTTTTCCTTTTAATGAAAATAACATCATAATAAGTAATTCTGTTTACCCAAAAAAGTTGTATTTGTGATCTATTGCGACCAATTTTGGATTATTCGAGCCTAGGAATTAGGAAAACTATTTCGCGAGTAAAACAGAAAGGGCTAAAATGTGATTCGAGCTAAAAAAAATTCATATATTTCAATTAAAAGACTTATACTTTTCATGTTGTAATGCGGAACTTAAGTACTATTGTGTATATAACAGCAGTTTAGTTTGTTCTACCTGTAGTTTCTGACTTTCTGCGTAGAAATAAGCTTGGGTTGGAAATTATATAAACTTCAGTTGTCAGATTTTCCTCCCACTGCTGACACTAATAATGCCGTAACTGTTGCAACAGGCTGATGTGTGCCATGCGTATCAGATCCTAAAAAAAGGTGGCCTCAAAGATGAAAACATTGTTGTCTTTATGTACGATGACATTGCAAATAACGAAGAGAATCCGAGACCTGGAATCATCATTAACAGTCCTCATGGCGATGATGTATATAACGGAGTTCCAAAGGTCCATTACATGCCCCTTGGTTAATTCAGTTTGAAACTGTGGTTTTTCTTCTTCTTTTTTATTTTTTTATTTTTTTTTATTTTTTCACACACCGAGTTTTCATGAAACAGGATTATGTTGGAGATGATGTGACTGTGGACAACTTTTTTGCTGTCCTTCTCGGCAATAAATCAGCAGTTACTGGAGGCAGTGGAAAAGTTGTTGACAGTGGTCCAAATGATCATATATTCATATACTACTCGGATCACGGTGGCCCAGGAGTGCTTGGTTAGTAACCTCTTTATAGAATCATGTGCCTGTATGAATCTTTTAACCTCTTAATGAGATGAGTAACGACGAGTGATGGAGGAAGAATACCATCTTATGCAATCAAGTTAGGATCAAACTTGCATATCGACTATATATGTGAACAAGGGTCAACATTTTTTTCCTTTTTTTTTCCCCAATCTGTTCGTGTTTCTTGTTGATTTGTCATACTCTATATTGGAGCTAACAAATGTCCTGCAAGTTTATATGTTTATATTCTAAAAGCAAATGTACAATCGAATATTTAATTGTTATTGGCAAAAATTTCACACATGGCAAAAGTTTCTATACAACAACATCAACAACAACAACAACAATAACATACCCAATATATTCCCAACTGGTTGGGGTCTGGGGGTCAGTTGTACGCAGACCTTACCCTTGTAATTATACAAGGAGGTTGTTTCCGTAGCGACCCAAGGTGCATTGCATCGTTTGATATATTTTTTTTTTTCTAGAAACTTCACTAATAGAAGAAGCACTAGAATTTAATTGAGCCATTTTGAGTTTGATATATATCTGTGATTTTAAGTTTTTTGCTTTGTTTTTTTCTACTTAGTCGAGATCTATTATCATATCATTTTGTGAAGTTTGATAATTTGTTCTTGTTACTAACTATACTTGTAATTACAATGGCATATTTTCAGGGATGCCTACCAATCCTTACCTTTACGCCAATGATCTGATCAATGTTTTGAAAAAGAAGCATGCTTCTGGAACATATAAGAGCTTGGTATATCAAATTTTGTTGGATTCCAAATTTTTGAAGGAATATGTTTTCTTTGTCAGTAGTAGTATCTTATGATATGGAACACTTACTACGATTACTATTTTTTAGGTGTTTTACCTTGAAGCTTGCGAGTCTGGAAGTATATTTGAAGGTCTTCTTCCCGATGAATTGAACATATACGCGACCACAGCGTCTAATGCAGAAGAGAGTAGCTGGGGAACTTACTGCCCTGGAGATATTCCAAGTCCTCCCCCTGAATACGAGACCTGCTTGGGCGACCTGTATAGTGTTGCATGGATGGAAGACAGGTACGTATTAATTTTCTTATTTTAATCGGTTATTGTTTTAAACATGCATTTGAAATTTTGAATTTTCCTCATCGTTTTTTTTCTTTTTTTTTTGGGAATGTTTTTCTGATGATTTGCTTGTTGAAAATCTTTGGGTTCACTTAGAAAAGGTTATCCCCTCAGCAAATAAGAGAATTTGACAAAGATGAGTATATGATTTATGTGATATATGTCTAGTTTTAAACCGGTTTTATTTTACAGTGACATACACAATCTTCGGACTGAAACTCTGAGACAACAGTATCAGCTGGTCAGATCTTGTTAAATCTTTTTTTTTTTTTTTCAATACTGTTGTTTTCTTGTAATTTTCTGAGGATGAGTGAATTGTATTGGGCATTTACAGGTCAAGGAAAGAACTGCTAATGGAAATTCTTATTATGGCTCCCATGTAATGCAATATGGTGATCTCAAGCTGAGCCTGGAGGATCTCTTCATGTATATGGGTACCAATCCTGCAAATGATAACTATACTTTTGTGGATAACAACAATTCTTTGCGGCTATCTTTTTCAAAAGCCGTCAATCAACGTGATGCTGATCTTGTACATTTTTGGGACAAGGTATATTGTATACTCATATCCAAATGATTAACTTTAACTCGTTTCATAATATTTCATACTTGCGTTTGCCTTTTATTCATTTCTCTCCTTCGGCAGTTCCGTAAGGCTCCTGAAGGCTCTGCTAGGAAATTCGAGGCCCAAAAGCAGCTTGTTGAGGCCATGGCTCACCGAACGCATATTGACAACAGTATCAAACTAATTGGAAAGCTTCTTTTTGGAATCAAGAAAGGTCCTGTTGTTATGGAAGAAGTTCGACCCGCTGGAGAGCCTCTTGTTGACGACTGGAATTGCCTTAAATCACTGGTAAGATGCTGTAATTCATTCAGCCCTTGTCCAAACAATCAACCCTGAATTTTTATTTAAAAAATTTTAATTCGTTAGAGGATAATTAGAACAATAACCTGAGGTTTGGCTTATCAGTTATCTTTGGTACTTCAACTTGCAAAAGCTACCCAAATAGATACTAACACAAAATTACTAAACATTAAATTGTTAAGAATGCGAATAAATCAGATCATCCGGATAACTAAACTTGTCATTCGTTAGAATTGATTAAACGTGTTACCTGTGCAATTTTGTCTTAAATCCGATGATGATTTGCAGCCAACCAAAATCACAAGCTAATAACAATTATAATGCTGACCTCTTTGTCTAAGAAAAACCATTTTTCTCCCTTACACGTCACACAGGTAAGAACATTCGAGACACATTGTGGGTCCCTATCCCAATATGGCATGAAACACATGCGCTCGATTGCAAATATTTGCAATGCGGGCGTCAATGGAGAACAGATGGCCGAGGTATCTGCACAGGCATGCACCAGTTTCCCATCTTTCTCTTGGAGCTCTCTCCATAAGGGTTTTAGCGCTTGATGTTTGTTTCAGGACAAAGTTTCTCTCTCGGGGCTACTTGGCTTTGCTATTAAAAAAGAAAAAAAAAACCCATTATTGTACAGCTCAGAAGAATTTAAATGGTGATACTGGCTTGTTATCTGTAGATATATATTTATATATCCTGCTGGTTTCTCTTTATCTATGTTGTACTTATTCGTGGAAAAAAATTGCAAACTTGACCATTTATTATGTGTAATGTAAACCCTGCACTGGAAGCGTGGAAAAATTTCTGGTGTATGCATGCTTAGCAGTGTGTCTCTTACTATATGTAGTGTGTTAAAATGAAGTCTAATATTCTGCTGCATTTTTTTTCAATATAATGTATGTGCATATTTTGATGGAGAAATGCTACGGTCCCGTTACGGATTCATTCTGTCGGGATTTGTAACGTTAGATCTAACGGTTACAACTTGACGGAATGATTCTGTAACGTGACCTTAGCGTTTCCCATTTTAATGTTGAAACGTCATACTTTTTCTAACATATGTGCATACTTTTATACTGAAATATTATTTTTAAAAACTATATAAACAAAAGTATGATTTATCTATCTATTAATCCGCAAAGATTTTTTGGTGTGTGAATTGGCCACCTTATCTTCACTACTAAACAGTAAACAAAAACTTTATTAAATAAAAGTATTCATTTTATTTATATTAGAGATTTAAGAAAATTGGGGACCAGGTTGGAAAATATTAATCTAACTCAACCAAGCCCTGAAGTTTAATTAAACTAACCAATGTTAGGTTAATCACATGTTTAAGTTGTTAACTGCGGCCACAGCATCAGAAGCGAGAAACCTCCCCATCCCCTGACCATGTCTTTAGAAAATATACAAACGGCGAAACTAACGATAAAAGGATTCCGTCAGATAAGCTGACGCTGTGAACCGGAGCTTCGCCAATTTGGGGTGGGGACAGCAGAAACGAACAGCTAGAGCAATAGCATCTGCATCGTCCGTTCCTTTGAACGGCTGCAGATTGGAAAATGGAAAATGAAAAATGCAGGGTATATTAAGTTTTGCTATGGAGCAATCGGATGACTCGACTTATGAAGCCATCTACATTTATTCACTAATTGTGTATTGACACGTGTTCTACAATAAACAATTTGGACAAGTATCAATACATTAAGTGGTGGATGGCTCTATAAGAAAACAATTCCGATGATGCCATAGAATTTTTTTTATATTAATATATATAGTCGTGAAAAGTGGAGGTTTGAAGAACATATTTTTTTTTCTGTGTTTTACTCACATCCATCATTTCACAACTCGAAGAAGAAGAAAGAACTTTCCTCCTCTTCTCATAATCTCTCTCTCTCTCTCTCATTGTGGTGAGTGGAAATGAGGTGGGTATGATCAAATCGAACGATCTAAAATCCATTATTGATTTCTTCACGAGTTTTGATTAACAAAATTTGGATTTTCAACCTTGGTTTGTGACTTCTACAATTTTCTGAAAGGTTGATGCAATTTTGTTGATTGAATGAATAGAGGTTCGTGTGTGTGTGTGTGTGTGTGTGTGTGTGTATGTTCACATATATTAATTTCTCTTGTTCAAGCAAATATTTGTGGACATTAATGTGGTAATCTCTGGATTTGCAGGTGTGCTCACAGGAGAGGAGATTTTTAGACCAGTTACCTGTTAAGGAAGATCGAAATCTTGGTTGAGGCTCTGATTTGCTGTAATTTATCGCCCGTGAATTTCTACATGCGGCCATCTAAAGTGACGATGGGTGTTGTTCGTTTCGAGATGACAATCTGAATCTTTCGCCTGGAAAATCTCACAATATTTTGAGGTAATTTGATTCACCATCTGAGCAAAAGAGATGAAAAAGATTAGGAGCTTAGAAATGAATATGCGCATCGCGACTGATAAAAATTTCCGGCTTCTGTAACTGCAGATTCTGAACAGAAGCTCGCCGGAAAAAAAGGATACTGATTTTCTCTCACCGGTAAATATTCAGTGGATTTTTCAGCTTCTCTCTCATCAAAGCTCCCCAATTTTTTTTGGTTAAATTATATGGTGCTCTTGCATCTTTGCCTTCCCATTTTTTTTCTTCTTGAATAAATTAATTTACCACCATTGTTGTTTGCATTTTGTTCATCGATCTCTCACCGCCCCATTTTTTTTTTTTTTTCACTTGCAAATCCATTTTAGCTGAAAATTGTGTTTTTCGATTTTTTAGAAATATTGTCGGAATCTAGATAACAGAACACAAAAACCTCCGTGAAGTGAAACGACGATCGTTTTCTTTGTTAACGGTGAGTACAGGTGCACGAAGGGTAGATGGACCGGATAAATACCCATCCCACCAATAGAGACGGGTTGTTGCTGTTGAGATCCGAATCCAGGTCAGCCTCCGGAACGACGTCGTCAGCTTCCCAATTCGTCTTGCAATGGGGCGGCCAGAAAAGGCTCCGCCACAGTACTAGCAACGACCCGACCGGTTCGAGAACGGGTCGACGTGCGACGGCAAGGATAGACCATCGTTTAGTGAAATCGGATACGAATGATAACTCCGGCGAAGATCCGTTAACGAATCGGCAGACCCTTGTTAATTTTGTTAGGAGCGCCGGCGGCCATCTGAACCTCCGTCAACGCCCGGCTTCTCCGTCTTCTCGAATTTTGAGGTAATCTTATTCCCTTTTCTCGTTTCATTTTCTTCGGGGAGTTTTCATTATTTTTTTATTTTTTTTGTTCATTTATTGGAAAATTATGCAGAATGATGATATATTTTCCATGGTTTTTACAAAGTTGTCGGTTTGGTTTCTAAGTGAAACTTCTTATAATTTCTGAATTACATTCAATTTAATATCTAGTTTACGATGATTTCACCCGATCGTGCCCCAAATGATTTTAGCCGTCAGATCTAAGAGTGTTTGTATGATTGTATGCAATATGAGGCTAAGGGGTGATTGTTTACAAAATAATTTACTCACTTTTATTTCAACTCAAAATCTAATTCAACTTTAACTCAACTCCACTATCTTTAATATTATTTATATAATTAAATAATACAAATCAATCATACTTACACATCACATCAACTTTAATTCACTATTCATCCACTCACATAATTTTAACTACCTATCATTTTCAATCATTTCCAATTATTTATCTCTTACTTTTACATCAAATCAATTTTAATTATTTTATTTTAAATATTATTTTAATACATTCTTAAAATTTCACTACAACTAACCATATCACTTTTTTCAAAATTAACTATAGTTAACCAAAATAACTCAATTTGAACAAATTATTTCATAAACAATCAAGCCCTAAACTTTTTATGAAGAGCTATTCACTATTAATTTTGCGTGAAAAGTTCCTCACATTTTACTTTTTTTGGGCAATCAATGGGCAAAAGTAATTTTACATCACAATAGTTAATTTAACTTCGCTGGTTTTAAGACGTCGGATCAATATACATTTGGACAATATAAATGTGGGAAAATGCTATGGTACTTTTACGGAACTATTCTGTCGGGTTTTGTAACCGTTAGATTAACTATTTTTGACGGTTTTATGATGATCTAACAGTTACAAATCTCGATTGAATAGTTCTGTAACGAGACCTTAGCATTTCTCATAAATGTGTGATCTAACAGTTTGAAATAGAATTGAATTATCTCCCAATAATGTCACATTTAGGATTAGGTCTACAAATAGGTGAAGTGATGAAATCCCAATCCGACGGCTCTTAATCAACCTCTTTTCACCCTCCTTTTTAACTTTAGGCTATACAAATCACGCGCGAACATATCTTGATCCTCGGCCCCTTTTAAAAAAAGCAAAACCCAAAAGAAAATTAGAACCACAAGACAAAGTCGTCTTTCAACAGATCCCCTGTTTTTATGCAACACACCACTAAACTCCATCATCCCATGATCCGAAATTTCTACCTCCAAAGGGCTTTTCCGTAATTTTCGCCACTACCCACGAAAATTCTCTTACTTTTCCCGGTAACTTTTCTCTCCTTTTTATTTTTGTAATTGTCAATTTCAAGATTGGTTTTCTTGAATTGTTTGTTCTTCGTCTTTTTGATATTTATCTCATCTCTTTCACGTTTAAAAATTTTGTGTAGGAGTTCAGAGGGTTCAATCGGTATGAAGGGACTTGGCAATGGAGTGATGGATAGAAAAGTCCCACCCATTAATACCAATAACCATAATAAGAATACTAGTAATAATATTATTACTAATTGCAGCAAGAATAATAATGTTAATAATAATCACCATAATAAAGACAACCACCGTGTCGCCGGAGGTGTTGGTTCCGGGTCGCCGGAGGCAGTCACCGCCATCTGGCCGCCCAAGTTTGTGATTGCACTGACAAATAAGGAAAAGGAAGAGGATTTTATGGCGATTAAAGGGTCCAAGCTGCCTCAAAGACCTAAGAAGAGGGCCAAATTCATTCAGCGTACCCTCAATGTGAGTTTTTCATTTTTTTTTTATTTATATTTTTTATAGGGAAAAAAAAAACTTTCATGGATAAATTGTGTGTATCAAATTTTCAATTTTTTTTACCACTTTTGCATTTAGGAGAAATTTGTAGGGTGATCCCCTTTGTTGAATTTTTTGGCTAATTAAGTATCCGAAACCTATATTTTAGTAATGAGCCACATAAATGGGGTTGGTTATGTGGTGATTAGGTGAAACATAGTTGCATCAAATTGCATGTATGATAATTACAATATTATCAATATAATTATCACTTCAAATCAATATTATCAACAACAACATCACCTTAATTTCACTATTCATCCACTCACATAATTTTAACTATCACTTCAAATCTTCTTTTTCCTACTTTGCATCAAATCAACTTTAATCATTTCATTTTAAATATTATTTTAATATATCCACTAACAATTAAACATACCAACTTTTTCAAAACTAACCAAACCAAACAAAAAAATTCAAACAAAACCAAAAATTTTTATATCCAATCATCCTCTTAACTACAAGTCTTCAACAACAACAACATAACCTTTTTGTCCCAAACAAGTTGGGGTAGGCTAGAAATGAAACCTAAAAGAACCAATGGTAAGAGAAACATAAAAAGGGCTCAAAACAAAAGGAAGAGATTGGAGCAAAAGAGAAAGAAGCAAAAGTCACGGTTCGACACGTTGATTGGTAGCCTCTAAGCGCTCCTATACACCGCTAAATCCTTGGAAATATTCTAATCTTTAAGGTCTCTCTTAACCGACTCTTCCCAAATGAGTTTAGGTCGACTTCTACCTCTCTTTATATCATCGACCCGCAGTAGAACACCCCTACGCACCGGTGCATCAGGAGGCCTCCGTTGGACATGTCCGAACCACCTCAGCCGATGTTGAGAGAGTTAGACTAATTATAAGAAAATAACTTCAAGTTATTTTAAATACCTCTGATCATGTATTATGAATGCACCTTAAGATTTGTGTTTGTTTTTGTGAAGTGTTAAAAGAGAAACTTTTAAAACGTGTCAAAGGTCTATGATTTCAAGGGATTATGCAATTTATTTGGTAGTTAGGCATGTGCAAGCCAAACAACTAGTTGTTGATTGATCTTTATCTTCTGAATCCTATACATTGCCATTATAGTCAGAATAAAAAAATATCATAAGGCCTAATCAATTATTTCGGATTTGCAGCTGGTGAGTCCAGGTGCGTGGCTATGTGACCTAACACTTGAACGTTATGAGGTCCGAGAGAAGAAAGTTTCGAAGAAGGTACTCGATTTTGTAGTACTTTTTATTTAGGCAATGATATTGTTTTCTTAAGGGGAAAAAATGAGCTCTAAGTCTTGTATTATGATTTTCAGAGACCGAGAGGGCTTAAGGCTATGGGAAACATGGACTCAGACTCGGAGTAGGAGGAATATTAAGACACCAGAAAAATGTGTACCTATAGAGAAAGTTGTGAAGAAATTGATGCAAGTTGGAGAGGTTTTACAATGTCATGATATATCTATCACAAGAAAAATCTTCTTTTGGAACAATTTGGCTGGAAAATTCGAGTTCAAATCGGTTTCGGTTTTGCCTCCTCTCCTGCAGTCTTTCCTTGGCAAAATAATGTCAATTGAAGGGAGAGTTGTGGTTAAAAATCTGGACATATCTCAATACAAGGCGTTTTTTAATTAGCATAAGTTGTTGAAAATTGTTGTATAAACTGTTACATGAAAAATCTCAGAGGTGTTATGCATCTCTGACGTTTGTTCATTTTTGAATACTTACGTTCGAGATTTGTCAAGTACTACTACTATTTGTTACTTCAAATTGAGATTTTTATATGTTATAAAATCTGAAATAGTAACACACTTTTAAAATTTGAAATTGAACTTGTGGAACGACATAATTCGATTTCATTCATGAAATAAAACAATTTGACCACGTTATAATCATTGGTAATCCGTTCAAAGCATGAAAATACAAAAATTTTGATTAAAAATGTTAATTGGACATAATTTAATAACATTGAAATTACCATATTATGATAGAGATAGAGAATATATAAAATAACACGGCCAATTGAAGAGAGACAAATGTATTTTACTGCGGCATAAGAAAAGCAAAAAATATTCACTTGCTTAACAATGAAGGTAACTCGATTCAAATATTATTTAATTGGTCATATAAACGTGTCGGTCGAATTTTAAAAGTAGGGCAAATTTCACCCTCAATTTGAGCCACGCCTTCGCCTACTCCACAAAGTAGTTAAAGCTATTATTTTAACTTTCTCCTAAAGTCTACTTCACAAGAACAACAACATTCCCAGTTCAAAAAAAATTCGAAGTCCATTGTTTACAATAAAATTTCAGTTTGTGACTATAAAAAAAATTGATATTTTCTTTATGTACAAAACAAATGTAACCCAGTCCAAGGCCACTTAATCACTAAGGGGGTGTATTCGTTTCGGAATTCGAGTAACATTTAAAAATTTTTTAAGATTTAAGATTTTTGAGGATTTTCAAATTTTAAAAGAATCTTATAAAATACCTATAAAATACCAAGTCTAAAGGTGGGATTTGTAGTGAGATTTCCTACATGTTTTTTTCTTTAGAAATCCCAGCAAATCCTTATAAATCCTAACCTTAAATTAGTTAAATACACCTAAATTTCGTAAGACTTTTTAAAATCCTAATTGAATACCCCAAGACTTTTAAAAGTCTTGAGAAATCTAAATTAAATACACCAGGATTTCTAAAGTCCTAAAAATTTTTTAAAAGTCTTTATAAATCCCATTTATAAATCCCAATTAAATACACCCCCTAAGTTAAAATATAAAATAATAACTAATAAGTTGCTGTAAAAATCACCTTAACTTGTATAAAATAGAATTCTCATTATAGTTAATTAACAAGAACACATATTAAATGGTTACTATTTTATTATTTTGTTTTTTAAAACCGATTTATTGAAAAATTAATATTATGCAGCTGCAACTTAGTGATAAAATTATACATACCAACTAATAGATCTAAGTAATCAAAGCGCGCACACGCTTCGCATGTTTAAAGGTCTAACTAATGTACCAATTTTGCCAATTAAGAACATCATTAAG